CGCATTTTATGCCCTAATTACAGATTTATATCTTTTGAAGATTAATTAGTGAAGGATATGGAGATAACGAACAGCATTCAATATAAAAGTCCACAAAACAATTCAAACTAAGAACAGAAAGCAATTACTACTTGTTTTTCTTCACCTTCAGTTTTCAGTTTTAAACTCATTTTGATTTAAATCATGAGATTGTCATCATTCAGTCTCTTCCTTCTTGTGTTTTACATAAATGTTTGATTTTTAATTTGATCCAATCAAATTTTTAATGTATGTTTCTTCGTAGGATAATGCGTAGTAAATTTTGTTTGAATATAAGGTCACCCCAACGACTGATTAAGTGCGTTTAAAGCGACACATTTTAATCTAGAAAAATATCTTTGTCTCTCAGTAATCCTGGCAGAAAAAAAAATTTAGATTTTTTTTCAAGAGACTGTACAAAGCTATTTACTAAGTAACAAGAGACAAGTATCATCGAATAAAAAATACAAATCATTAACATAAAATTCTCCCTATTTCTTTTTTAACCAAAAAATAGAAAATAACAATCAAAGAACTAGATTTTTCGACAAAAAAAAACCCAAATCATTATTTCTGAAAACACAAGAAGGTTGAATATTTTTTGTGACGTAAACATTTGTTATGTGAAAAATATGATTTGTCCTATACAAAGGTTTCCCCCTTATAAAATCATATATGCGGGTTTGGTAAGGCGGGACACGGATTAGAATTCGGCGATTTAACACTTTTTTTTTAAAAAATAATATCTAACACTAATAAATCAGGAAAGGCATAAATAAAAAATTTGCTATCATTATGCATACTATAGACGTCAATGGGACTTATACTACATGAAGCACTTCACCATGACATCACCGCGTGAGGACTAGAATTAAAAAAATATGCCTTAATGAAAAAGTGAAAAGTTCAACACTACGTCGGGGATAATTACGCAGGTATGTCAAGGTTACAATCAAATATTATACTTGTCTATATGATATGACGTCATGGTAAGCTATATGACGTGAAGTTTAGAGATAAGAATTTCTCAAATTCGAAAAATCATTTCAAGATCGTAAAAATGAATTAAAATATGCAGAGGCATAATATGAACGGTCTTTTATCGTTTCTGGGTGTCTGTAGTTATTACAGGGGTTAAATACCACACATGACGTCATAACTGTTGATTATGCAGTAGGAGAGTAAAAGTGAAACGTAACGAGAATTCATGTAAACAAACACAAGAAATCGGAAGTTGAAAGCATTTAAAATGAATATCATGTGTGATTCATATGGGAATAAAGCTTATAGATAAGGTATGCTAAAATAATTCTACAATTTCTTCGTAAAACTAAAGCAGGGAGGGTGTTTACTTGCCGATCAGCCTTTCCTATGTGGTTTGTAACAAAAAAGATGTAAAAGTTCTAAACTACGCCGCATACTTTGAAACTTAATTCTTGTTTCTCTCAAAAGTTCTTATTCTTTTGTTTTTGGAAAGAGCTGCTAGAATCGTATGATTTATGAGAGTTGATGAATTTTTTCGATGTTATAAACAAAATGTAAGAATTTTGGGAAGGTTTTGTCCGAAAGTGATGAATAATTATTTCTGTGAAAGGACAGTAGGATTCTAGCTGCACTTTTCATGGTACAGAGATGTTTTTACATAAATGTTATTACAAATTGAAATTGATCCTCCCGGGGTAGTGTTGAAATTTTCACTTTTTCATTAAGGTATATTTTCTAATTATATAGACGTCACGTGGTGACGTCGTGGTGAAGTGCTTCCTGTAGTATAAGTCCTATTGAAGTCTATATAATGCATAATTATAGCAAAAGTTTTATCCTTCATTTTTCCGAATTATTAGTGTGACATGATTATAAAAAAAGTTTTAATTCGCCGAATTCTGATCCATGTGCTGCATTAACAAACCCGCACAATTTCAATTTGTAATGATAGTTATGTAAAAACATCTTTGTACTATCAAAAGTGCAGCTAGAATCATATTGTCCTATCCAGTTATAATTATGCATTTTCGGAAACCTTACGATTCTAGCAGCACTTTCCATAAACAATAGAACAAGAACTTTACTTAAAAACAAAAATTAAGTTACAAAGTATGCGGCTTAGTGTTAAACTTTGGCATCTTTTTTGTCACGAACGACAGAGGAAAGGCTCATCGGCCAGTGAACACCCTGCCTGCTTTAGTTTTACAAAGATATTGTATAAGTAAATTCAGCATACCTAATTCATTAGCTTTATTCCTATATGAATCACACAATATTCAATACAAATGCTTTCAAACTCCGATTTCTTGTGTTTGTTTACATAAATTCTCCTTACGTTTCATCTTTACTCTGCTACTGCATGATCAACAGTAATGACGTCACGGGTTTCGTATTTAACCCCTGTGATAACTACAGACACCGATAAATGATAAAATGCCTCTGCTTATTTTGATTCATTTTCACGACAACAAATCAACCTTAGATATCGATTTTAAGAAATTGTTATCTCTAAACTTCACGACATATAGCTTACTCTGACGTCATATCATATAAGCAAGTACATGTATAATATTTGGTTGTAACCTTAACATACCTGCGTAATTATCACACAAAATCTGCCACATTTTCCAGATACATGCGTTTTTATTTCACGAAATTGTTGTTTTTTTCTGCCCTAACAAAAAAACTATAGTTAACTATAGTTTACAGATTTTTAAAGTGTCAAACTTTTTACCGAAATTTTTTAAATTGTAAAATTTTAGATAAAGTTTTTCAAAGTGTCAAAGTTTTTCAAAGCATCAAATTTTCAGTAAGGTTTTTCAAAGTATCAAATTTTTCGCCAAAGTTTTTCAAAGTATCAAATTTTTCGCCAAAGTTTTTCAAAGTGTCAAAGTTTTTCAAAGTGTGAAAGTTTTCGCCAAAGTTTATCAAATTGTGAAAGTGTTCGCTAAATTTCTCAAAGTATCAAAGTTTTCAAAGTTTTTAAAGTATAAAAGTTTTCGTTAATGTTTTTTCAAATTGTGAAAGTTTTCGCCAAAGTTTGTCAAATTGTGAAAGTTTTCGCCAAAGTTTATCAAATTGTGAAAGTTTTCGCCAAAGTTTTTCAAATTATCAAAGTTTTCGCCAAAGTTTTTAAAGTATCAAAGTTTTCGTTAAAGTTTTTTCAAAGTGTGAAAATTTTCGCCAAAGTTTTTAAAAGTGTCAAAGCTTTCGATAATTTTTTTTTCAAAGTGTCAAAGTGATCAATATAGTGAATCAAATTTTCAAAGTATCAAAGTTATAATTATAGTTTACTATAGTACATCATTTTTTTAGGGTGGAACTTCAATTTTTTTTTGTGCAATTTTAAACTTGATAAAAATACTTTTAAATGGTTTGAAACACGTTCAAATAATTTAAGGAAATGTTATCTTTTTGTGGTTTTCATCTATAGGTTTGAAAGAAGAAGATGAAGGATTATTTACATGTGAACTTCAGAATAACACGTCTGCAAAACAACAAAAATCAGTGTCAATAAGCGGTATAATAGTTGAGAGCGTATAATGCACTAGCTTAATGTAACTCATAGAATGATTTGTGTTATAGAGAAATAATTTTCATATCGTGTCTTTAAACGTTTATTATATTGTAAATACAAATTTACAAGAATATACAAATGTAATTAAGTTGACGTATACATGTTTTTGGGTGAATGTAAATACTTTAAGTAGTATTTTTTTCTTATAAAATTTAATTTTTTGTAAATTTATTTGTATATAAATTATGAGAAAAAAAATTGAATTTTACATGATATTTTTTTGCATTTTTTCTACTCGACTACATAATTAAATTTGATATGATTCTAGCTTTTAGTATTATATTTAGTTGAAATATTATTTTAGTTGAAGGCACAGATGATGTGACAGCTAGGACAACATACGTTAAAAATGTATCCGAAACAAAAGTGGGCAACACATCAATCAAACCTACAGTGGACGTTAATGAAACCATTTCTGATGAAACACTGAAGCAATACGAGAACATGACACTGTATGAAAGTCTTTTAAATATTTAATATTTTATTGTTTTATTTTCTTTTATTTAAACTTTTGAATTTTTGCACGATGAATTCATTTGGTTTTGATTTCATTAACATGTTCAAGTTAGATGATGAGACATTGATTTTGAAACTCAAGAGTATAATGTTTTATTCTTTTGGCGGAATTTTAATCTTGTTAGCTGTTGTTTCATTCATTGAATACGAAATTTCTCCAGAAATAAAAAAAGCATACAAACAGACATTTTTCTTCGAATTCATATTTTGAGGACGAATCTACACATATCAGTTTAATGAATGATCACAAAATGGTCTAGAAGAAAGTCAATTAAGGGCAGAGAATGCCGTTCAGTAACAGTACAGTAGACTATTTGTCAATCGTCACTAAATGGTATAGATTCATCCGACGATAATAATGTTAAGGAACATATTTAAAATTAAAACAAACACCATAAAAAATTACAATTTTATAAAATCAACATTATAGAAATAATACCAAAAGCTGTGTAAATGCCCCCCCCCCATTTATATCTTCTATTTTATTTTGATCCTTAAAGTGAATTCAAATTTTCAAATTTGAGAACATATATCCCATTAGAAAATAAAATTCTTTTCAGTAGCCAACTGTAAACAAACTATCAGTCGTGACATTCAATTGCAATTAGATTGTTTGCAATATATTTGCAACTATTGATTTCCGCGATTGAGGCAACATTCTTCACTAATACATAATTTGATTCACAACAAGTATTATTCATGTAAAAGAAGGTCGTGAAACCCGCAGATGTTTCTCGGTCAAAAATAAAAATTTGTTTATATAATTATGTTTGAATTAAATATATGGGAGAATTTAGACATTTGTGACAACACACTTTGAAAAAATTACGCACTTTGAAAAAAATGTTTCAAAGTGCATTAAATTTGGGACCAACTCAACGCACTTTGAAAAAAACTTTTCAAAGTGCGTTAAGAGTGTACATCAATATATTTTGCCACGGAGACACTAAACGCATTTTGAAAAAAAAATCATATTTTTAGTCATGGAAAGATTTTATTTGTTATTTATCTTTCAAAAAAACTAAGCCTAACCCTAACGTCAAAAATGAATTGATTTACTCCCCGTCGAAAAAAGAAGACTGGTTTAAGATCCTCAGTCCAAATCTTTATCTTTCCAATACATAGATGTCGGTAACAAACAGGGGAGGGGAGCAATAAACCTAAAAAGGGAATGCTGCCGTTTCAATGCTTATTAGATGTATATATCTTTCCAAAGTAAGTGGGGGGCTAAACTCCTATCTCCTCCCTTGGCCCTTCGCCTTGTCACAATGTCTATGCTATACTCAAAGCATACATATAATTATGTATTTATCTAAATGGTATGACGTTGAAAACTTTCAATAATTAATGAGTTAATTAAAACAGATGAAACAAGAAATTTTTAAGTACAGTAAAACGTATGAGAGAAGAATTTTCACAGTTTTGAACAATCAATTTTCCCCCTTTTTATTATGATAAATGCTAAGTTGCTTGAAGCTGTCCTCTATTAGTGTCCCCTATACACCTTGACATCTTCTTATCAAAGACTAGAATTAAAAAGAAAAAAAGAAACGAATTAATGAACTTAAACGATCGTCACTCTTTTTTTAAGACCCTTTAATTTTCCTTTTTATTTTATCAAAACCTTAAACATTTAAAACGTCAATATCTCAGGTCCTACAGTGACTTTATCATAAAAAAGTTATGAAACCAGGATCTATTATTTATCATATCGATTATTTGAAGGAATATTGATCAATCTTTTCTTTTAATTTCAAAGTGCATTAATATGGTCGATATTAACGCACTTTGAAAAAATTTTTTTTTCAAAGTGCGTTAGCTTGGTCCCAAATTTTAACGCACTTTGAAATTTTTTTTCAAAGTGCGTAATTCTTCAAAGTGCGTTGTAACAGACGTAACATATTAGTTCTTCTAATGAAATGTTTTCCAGTTTATACTACTAAGTCATTACAGATACATTAACTTATAGTTTTTCTTATTCAGGTCGATTCTAAGTGATGAGGAAAGCAGCACTTCTACAACACAGATCCAGAATATAGATAGAAATACAACCGACACGAGCATGTATATGGAAAGTATCACAGAAAGCAACCTAGAAAAGGGAAATGATTCTGTGTCTATCACCAACGACACCTTCAAAGACAACAAACTAACAACACAGACTAATGTTGTCTCTTTCGTGGAGGGCACGACTGCATCACTCGAAGGTTATTATCTATATATATAAGCAAAGATACATGTAGTCTGTTTTTATTCACATATTCATATGGAGAATTCCGTAAATAAAATAAGCTGAACATTTTAAAATTTTTAAGAAGTAGTCAGCATTAAAAAACTATTAAAGTATATATAAAGCATTCCTTAGGCCGATATTTTTAAAATATTCAGTTTCGCAAAATATATTGTGAAATGAAAATTTAACATTATTTTATCATACATCACTTTTAATACATAAGACAACAATTACGCAGCACAACCAAGGTTACAAATGGAAATATCGGAGATTTTTTAAGATAAAAAATACATGATATTTTCATTTGTAACCTTAACTGTGCTGTGCAGGGAAAAAGTAGCGCTTATAAGAACGGTAATTACTTTATATGCATAGAACTCTCTCTCTCTCTCTCTCTCTCTCTCTGAAAAAAATATACAAGTATATGGAATATACCTTGTAATATTTAAGACTCTTAACATGCAGTTGTAAATTGCTCAGAAAAAAAATATGCAGCATCTTTAATTTAAGCATGCATAGACATCGTTTTAATCGCTGTTCCAGAGCTAGCAATGTGAATGTCCAATGTCTCGTATATCAGCATCAAATTAAACACAATTATGAATAAATTTACGCACTAGATTTTAATAATATCATATTCCTTTAAAAAAAATTCTGCATCAAGTTTAAAATTTTTGTTACACTTTGAATTTAAATTTTATTTCTAGTTCTCAAAATGCGGTCAACAAAAATTACTTCAGTGTTGACAATACCGCGACTTTGACGTCGTTTTCTGAGCATTGTGACATCAAAAGATAAGGGCCCTATTTCTCAGTCAAATACTAAAAAAGACTCGAATCCAAGCTAACGGCCTTTTATTTATCTGCAAATATTTTTTACTTGAGAACAAAGGACAGCTTTCATTGTACAAAATGTGACTTGATCAGCCTCTCACTGTGTACAAACTGCGTCATTTTTGAGAGATGACGTCACATTGACAAGTGCACTGCGATCAATTCATCGTTTATATACTGTTGTGTGGGATATAACAAACGACAGAACTGCATGTAATAGTAAGTTTGTATGTAGTATACAGCTACCAGCTGTTTGAAATAGCAAAAAAATTCATTTTGTGGTATTTTGAAGACCTTACATTATGTGTGACGTCATAATAAACAAACCCGTACAAATTAGGCCCCGCCTGTATTTTCATGGTAATTAACAGTTACAAAATTTTTCCTAACGAGTACAATTGAATAGGAAATTAAATAAAATAATAACATGTTTTTTTTTTATCAAAATATGCATTTGATATGTTGTTTAAGGCATCTGGCTCCGTTGGAGTTCAAGATCATTTTATTCATCCAAACTATTTCAGGTAGATCTACATGAGGACAATGAAGAATATTTACAACATATAAATTTAGGTCAGAGACACAAGTTTATGAAAAGTAAGAGAAAAACGCAAAACACATATGAAACTTGTAATAATGAAATAAGCGAGGGGAAAAATCATGGAGGACTGACTAACTAAAATCATATATTTTCAATATAAACGTACGTAGTTTTCTGAGTGCCGTAGAAACTTGTTTTGTCATCAGTTGAGAAAAATATAAGAATGCGTACAAGTATTTGATTGCATACTCTCAACAAATTAAAAAATAATTGGTATATTCAATCTACATGTAAATTGTTTACGTTTCGTAAATGTAGTGTTTTTGAGTTAACCAAACACCGTCATTCCTACGAATATTTTTAATTTTACATTACATACTTTAAACTAGTACCTGTTACTTAACATTCATATATTGAAAAAGTCAGATCTCCAATTAAAAAATTATCAGCTCAAAAAGAGATGCCAACGATTTAGGTACCCCATCGATATAGGACCATCCACGATATATATTGACAAAATTATTCGGGGGAGGGTACTACCCCCCCCCCCCCCCCCCTCCACAAAAAAAAGATGAAACCTAATCGTTAATGCAGCTAAAACTTATGCCTGTTTGCAGTACAAAGTGGTAACAATTGAAAACCGGTTTGAATTTAACATCTATAGACATGATAAAAGGATGGTTTCATATACATTCAAATTGGGGGGGGGGGGGTATCAAATTGTGACAAAATTATTTTCATAACATTATTAATAAAATTGTATAAGGTTTTGTAAATTAATACTAAATTGATACTTTTTCTGAATAACCATAATGGTATTTTTAATACCATTGCAGACAGATTTTTATTTTGAAGATAAATTGTTTTTTTTAAATGTTATATGTATCCACTGAAAACAGTTGGGGGAAGGAGCGTGTCAGTCGAGAAAAGATAAATAAATTCATTTTCAAGGTCATTATATTAAATATACGAGTGAATCTAGTATCCAATCGTCTAATCCCATTCACCTCCCCACAATTTACATAATAGTATTGAAATGGATAAAATAATGAAAAATGATGGTGGTTCTTGAGGGGTGTTGCTAAAACGAGGAACGGAAGATGTATTATATTTTTCATTTTAGATTAAGTCACTTTAAATACACAAATTTATAAACAATATATATTCTATAAATTCAACCCCCCTTATTTAATACAAGTTGATATATTCATGTTCATAAAATCTCTTATTCACGAAAATTGCAGTCAAAGCAGTGACGTAGAAACGATTTTGAAAGGGTCGAGAGGGGAGGGGGTGTAAAATTAAACTTACCTGAAAAGAATTTGCCAAGCGAAAAAAGATGACAATTGTTTGATTCGGGAGATGGGATAAGACTAAACTCCAGCATCTTTCATTTTCTTAAACTCCTTTATGGAGTATTTTGTATAACATCTCCTGTCAGTATTTTTATAAGATTGCGTCATGTTTAAATTGATAGAAAGCAAACAACTTACTGAAGGCTCAAATCTTATAGTTCAAGTCTCAAAATTCATATGAATGATACTGGAATAGAGTCCGTTTGAAGTTAAATACTTGTAATTTTCCTTTTATTAATTAAGAGCATGTCTACGAGAAAACCATGCAAAAAGTTATGGGAGCAAGGTTCTCTGATCAATTTTATGTTTTAAATTTTTTCTAGAATATGAAATATTTTGCCACTAATTTTTTTTTTCAGTGTGGTCTCCCTTAACGGGGTAAATCAACACTGTTACTAAAAATAGAATATTTGTCCTTACACAGGTTGAAAATAGGAATTTTAAAGGATTTTATATTAAAAAATTCAGCATTTTATTTAATATTGATATATAATATCCATATATGGTTGAAAGTAACAAGATACACTTGTTTCGGAAAATTTTTCATAATCACAAACTGTGTCCCCATTTTAGTGCAAAAAGGTCACAAATCTGGCATATTTCCAGATTTTTGAAAACTGGTGAAAATACTCACTTTTCAAAAACCTATAACTCAGAAAGTGACGCTTAGAATCAACTCAATCATATACCAGTTACTAGACAACATGTCTTTCTACATTATATTAAAAATCTGTTATTGGACTCTCAAATTTTTGGCTGTACTTTTTACTTAAAGTTGGATATTTTTTTTTTCAATTTTCAAATTATCTCATCCTTGAACTTCAGCAAGGAGTTTTTTGCTTAGTTAAATATTTTCAAAAATTTAAATTTTGCTGTCGAAAAAATACCAGTATTTTGTACATTTTTGTTCTTTATCAATTTAACTATTTCTTAGGGGTTAAATGGGGTTAATGGGGGGGGGGGGGTTACCTGAATTGTATATTTTACATTGTATTTAAAAAGGGTGATATTCACATACAGCTTAGCACCTGTTTGTCAGTCAATAGACCAAGTGTGTTCTCCCTTATCTTAGAAAAAAATACTCGATAGATAATAAACATAGTACACTGGTATCTACAAATAAGTAGAGGGCCCCTTTTTAGTTTGGAGTTCACAAGGTCAAAGGTCAAGGGTTACAATTCTCTAGGTATACCAGAATGTAGATCTTAATCATTCAAAATCTTGAATACCCATTGCTTCACAAACATCAAATTTAGTATACTGGTTTCTTGAAAAGTAGAAAACCCTCTAAATTTTGAGGTCAGAAAGTCAAAGGTCAAGGATCAAACTGAACAAAAAGGAATATCAGAGCCATTTTCTTGACAGACATTTTGTCATGGCAACAAACTCAAAATGAATGAACACCAAGTTTTTAAAATCAACAAATTAGGACATAACTAGTTTTTAATTTCATTGCAGATTAAAATTTGAATGTCACTCGATAACTAAGTACATTCAACAAAAAAAAAAAAAAATTACAATGCTTGACTGCTTCCTGATATTTTATATTCACTTCCAAAATTAAAATGACCTTGAAATTTCTTATGCTTGAAAAAATTCTACTTGCTTAAGTATACATTGTGATTCTAAATTAAGATAAGATTTAACAAGAAAAATCACAGCTTCCCAAGTCATATTCTGAATTATTTGCTATACCTGTATACAGGAAATTAGTCTTTATAATAGTGTTATATTTGGTAAAACAAAAGCACTGTTGACCTTGATCTTTGACCTTATTTAACAAAACAAACACCGAAAATTTACTCTGAATTTTTGTGTATTCCTGCAATTGAAACCTGATGCATATTAAATATTAAGATGTTAACAATGTCGAAGTACATGTACCAATTAAATCGTACAAGTTAACATATATTAAATACCCTGAAATACTGGTCATTATGCAAGCTTCTTCAATTATAAAATGTCATTTCTAAACAATTGGCAATATGCCAATCCTCATATTAGGGGTCATTTCTGACAATTTAGTTAAATTCAATTTAAATTTTTTTTTTCAATCTTAATTATTATTTCAAAGAAAATATTACATGTTTTAATATTGAACAACAATTGATTATAATTTAAAGTACTATATTTGACTTTGTAACCCATTTGAGTTTGAACATTTTTTTTCGAAAAATGGCAACTTGTTAATCCCCATATCTCAATTATTTATTATTTCCCAAGCTCAATATTTTGCAAAGATAATGTTTAGAGTTATATTTGTACAATAAAATAAAAATAATTAATTTCAAAGATTGGTCTTGGTAGATTTAGGGCATTTAATTTGTTATACTTTTTGCAATTCTTGAAAATTGGCATCATGCCAATTTTCAAGAGTTGTATGCCCTTTGGTATATTGCATATTTGATAGTAATAAATATCAACTTTGAAAGAACATAGTCTTATGTTACTTTAAAAAACCTTAATGGAAATGCAAGTTTAATTTTGAGCAAAATAAATCAAATGTGAATTATACATTTTTCCTTGAATTTTTAAGTGCATTTGCACTTAAATGTGCAAAAAGGAGGTGGCGCTGCCTACGGCTGCCATGTCGAATGATGGGAATTTTTTTGGTCATTTTTGAATAACAATATTATAAAGTCAAACTACCCACGAAATTACATTAAGATATAACAACCTTTGATTTGGACAGTTCTGCATGGTTTTCTCGCGGACTGACTCTTAACAAGACATAAACAGGGACCCTCTGACACTGGTGACCTGGCATAAGGTGCCTAGGAGGTGCAATCATCCCCTCCTGTCTCGTGACACTTGCCATTATATTTTGGCGTATGTGTTTATCAGCTATATGGCACTCCCCGTCATAAAATTCATTTATAGAACGAGAATCCAACAATTTGTATTAAATGTGATTAGCCAAATGTAACAATTATATAATTCTGCTTTGTTGAGTTCAATCAAGGTTGACAGTATTTCTACAAATCAACTTACCTATCAGCATCCTTTAAAGATTGATATCTTTCGAACATTCCTACATTAAATAAGAAAAGACAGATCGTGCTCTGTAATGCACAGTTAACTATTAATGTGTCAATTATCCATGAAAATCAGGTTGACTAAACTCAGTCTTTTACTGGTGTACCCCCTCTTCCTCTCTCTCTCTTTCTCTCTCTCTCTCTCTCGTTCGGACTTGTAACAATTAAACTTTTAACTTTTTTGTAATTATTTTACAAAACAGATGAATAAATGTTGCTTACTGCTCGATGATATAAATGAGAGAAACATTCGTCTTTCAACACATATTTCAATTGGCTTGAAACATATTTTTTTCTGCAGGTGAATTTCATTCAGAAAAAGATAACAAAGCTGGTATGATTGTTGGAATTATGGTGCCAATTATTCTTATTCTTGTGACCACCATTACAGTGGCATTTATTATAAAACGACGGGGTGGCATCAATTGGGAAATGTGAGTACTGAAATTTCTTTTAAACCTTCATCCAGTATGTACCAAGAATATACTCTCGTAGAAATCCTTGCCACTTTTATTTTAGAAAAAAAGTCATAAAACTATAGGTTTAGAATATTTGCACGAATTTCTTTAACATATGTTATTTTAGCCCGGAGAACGAAGGTCGAGCACTAGCAAATAGAAATGTTAGTTAAGCTATTGAGATCTTTTTTCTTCGTTAGTCAGATAATTCTTCAAAAAGCCCACTCCAGTACTGGCCTGTTTAGATTTTTTTTTCCAATTTATGTGGTAGTTGGACTTCATTTCCGAAATGTGATCTATACATACAAATATTGCCGATTTTGTGTAAATGAAGGATACGGAGATGACGAACAGTTTTCAATATCAAACTCCATAAAACAATACAAAATAGGAGCAAAGCAAACACGGACCTCCAAAATATCAGAGATGGGATCAATGCCATGGAAGAGTGAGCATCTCCTGCCGACCGGTCACACCCGCCGCTCCTTGTCATGAAAGGGAATTAACTGAAAAATCCGTCGTTAATTCAGAATATAACCTGAATATATTAGACATGTTTTGCCTAGCTTAGAGTACTTTTTGAATATTGAAAAACATATTGACCTAACATTCACTTGGCAACAGTGCCATAAATAGTCCCATGAAAAATGAAACTACAATATTACAAAAGATTGCCGTATGCCTTGTTGTACTATAAATCATTTTCGTTAAAAATATCTAAATGTTTATAGATTTCTTTCAAGCTGTTACCATAAATCTAAAGAAAAGGACTATGAGAAGCCGCAACATGAGCTCATTACGATAGACTATGAAAATAGAAGAAAGAAGAGGAAAAGTAACTACATTAAGTGTAATGATACAACTTTTCTAGACGAATACAATGTAATACAAGAAGAACAAAAAACAACCCTCTTGACTATGCTGACATAGAGTTTGTAGTCAAAAAGAAAAAAAAAGGTAAAATCCATCTTGACTATGCTGACATAGAGGTTCAGTCAAAAAGAAAAAAAAGAGGTAAAATTGACGTAAAAACACCTCCTCGAGAGAATTGAGAAATTCTACTCCAGCAAAACAAGGAGATTATTTATATGCTAGAAGGAAGATTGGGGTGTGGTTTGATGTAGTTCATTCTTTAAGAAGTTAGTTTCCGTCAAGGGCCTGTGTGATCTTTCCTTTTCCAATTAAGTGTATATTATCATAGATGTCCAGTCGTGGTTAAAAAATTCCCGTAAGGCCGTTTATAAGAATGAAGTTTCTTTGCCCTCTCACTATTCGGGTTAAAATAATTGCGTCGGTATAGGTAGGTCGAGATCTTTTTGTCGGAGATTTTCAATGATAAATAAAATTGAAGGCATTTCTGAAATAAAAAAAAAATAGTTGTTGATGGGATGAGAAAATTCCTGAATGAATATTTTGGAGGTTTTAAAAAGATTTTAGTCGGTTAATCTTAAAAGGCCAAACAGACAAGTTATCATAGATAGGGGTTTTTATTTAATATGCAGCTGTTTCATCGCTATATATGCATATGAAAGAAAAAGTAAACAGGAGCATTAAACTAAGAAAAGAATTTTATTTAAATAGATGCAGTGAAAAATAACATGAATTACTTCTCTTTTATTTAAGGAATGAATTTAATAGCTACCCAATTTATACATGATATGGACTGAGTTGGGGCAGTAAACAGTGCAGTTTATATTTTTTTAAAAGTGTAAACACAGTTTATACCGTATAAATTGGGTAGCAATTTAATTAATTCCTTTTAATATATTTTTTCGTCATTTAGTGTATAAAAAAGACGATTAAAAATCACTTCAGATACATGTAATACAATTCTGAAATGAACTAAGGCGGATCGATGTTTTTCTTGTAATTTCTTTATCCAACCAAATACCGCGTTATAACTAGAATTGAATTATTACATCTTTTCACTTCCGTAGATGATGTAAGTTAGAAAAATGCAACGCATTTCATTGTTCTTTTCTGTGCAAGTAGTAAGAACTGTACAAAATCTTTGATAGCTTGCCAAGGATATTGATAAATAGTTACGTTCACTTAAAAAAATGTAATTCTCTCTTGATACAACATAGAGTATTTGATTTGGATACTTCCTCCGGAATTTTAGTTTTTAGCCGTTGATTGAAAATGAATATTTTGAAGGAAGGACTCTTGAGTTTCTCAATTGATTTTGTTATTGTTGTATTGTTTAACTTCTTATGTTGTACACGAAAAAAATCGGACCCTCCCCTCCCGTGTCACGTGTGTGCTCCATTTCTTTGGTGACTTCGTGCAAATTTTGTCGTGAATATACGGATGCTCGCATATTTTGTAAGTTACAGTCCCACTTTCTATGATATTTTATGATTGAGAATAAAGCAGATTGGACATATGTCTATTGACCTTTTTCCGCCATTTTGCTGCACTGTTATGTATTCATAATCCGTTTGCTGAGGTTCTACATACCAATAATACATGGAATGTGAAACTGGAAAACATGATACATCGCTAAACTGTTATAATAAGATCTAAATACAAATTGTTACAAATTAATGAAAATTGTTTGAACACTTTTAAAACATCCCGACCTATCATCATTTTGAGCATGGTTTATCTACCAAAGAAAAAATACTAACTTTAAAGTTTTGGATTCCTGAAAACAGCATAATGTCGGCCATTTATAAGATTGCTGAATCAAACTGTTGTATGTAGTAACGCAGTCTCCGGTGCTCATTTAGCCCTCTGAACTTAGAACATCAATGCAGAATAAAAGTTTCAATTAAACATTTTAGAGGTTATAAATTTTCTTTGTAATGATTTTATTTTAATCTTCAATATCAAGGATTTATCTAACCTTTAATAATTATATCCCCGATAAAGATTTGTCTAAAGTGGTCCACAGTGCAATATGTGCCGAGTCTATTCAAACGGAAAAGTGAATATGTAATATTCCGGAAATTTATATTGTAATCATTTAGGTTCGATGATTAGGATGTGAATGTAAACATCCTCTTTAAAAGGTATATAAAGGCTGAATCCACGTTATAGTGTGTTCATTCCAGCGCAAGCTGTGCTAAGAGTAAGACGTGTGCGAACCATAACAGCAGTAAGTGAGACTTAACAAAATAAAGTCAGCTTACAGAAGAAGTCCACCTTATAAAATAAATAAGGTGTAGTCTACATGAATTTTTAATAAATAAAGGCTGTTATGTTTTGGAGTGGCAAGCCACTCAGAGGCTAACCAGGAACGGAGGTTAGCCACCAGACCTGTAATTCGTCTTGCCGATCTGTCTGGCAACCAGGCTGTTGTGTGCAGTGTGTCTGCCTGAATAAGGCTAGCAGTGTGCAAGCAGTTGAAGGGCTGTCTTTTGTACTGACTGTGTCTTGAATAAGGCTGCAGTACAAGCGTCAGTCCGAGGTTGGCCAGCGTTAGGGATAGTCTACCCACTGCCATAATCATCTGTAATTATTTGATTCACCTTTGAATATTGTCGTCGTGATTATTAACCTAGATAAGGTTGGCCATTTATTTGTATATTTTGCAGGCCTTTGTAATCAATCATTTGTCAATCATTTATTAAGAAAAATTATATTATATTGGAAATCATCCCCCAAAACCTTGAATCGACAAGGTACGATCCCCGATTGCTATTTTATTATTCCGCTCGACACGTTACAAATATGTGTGTTTAATAACTGTGCTCATAATTAACTTGTTAAGTCACAAAGAAACATAATATCCCACAGAATATTCCACTTTTATTGATAGAATTTGAACTTAAACCATTTGTTCTCTTGTCTGTCTCGAAAACTGTGTTTACCTTCAACGTCGCATAGACGCTTTCTTCCGAAAGGGAAAATCCAAGTCTATTTTTAGTACACGGAAAACGTGAACGTATGTATGAAACTTAACACTGACTTGTTTATTTGCAAATATAAATCCTGAAATTTACAGTAATTTACTGACTCTCTCAATACTTACATGCTTAAGAATCATCTTAATCCTTTTGTGTGTATGTTTAATATATACTGGAGTCATGGGCTAGTACTTGTTGCTCGAATTTGTTCTATGGACACATTCAGAAATTTCACTTTTTTGAAAATGGTTTGCTTGGGTTTTAAACCTGTGAAATTTTAACAATAAACTATTACATCCCAAGCATCTATATGTGGTATTTTTATTATGTACAGCTGTTTAGTGTGTACATATGTTAACACTTTTTGTTCTTCAAAGTTTGTTTTTCATTTGCATATATTTTTTGTTCATTTTTTGTAGGGATGGCAATCGATTGCAGAATTGCTAATCGGTTAACCGCAAAACTTTCCGACCGATTAACCGGTTAGTCGTATCAAGATATACATGTACATTTTGACATTTTCTTCAAAGGTGTTAGAAGTTACACTGTGTTTTATTTTGATTGGGGAATTTTATTTACATAACAGTATTTTTTATTTCAATTTCAACAGACACGAAAAAATTAAGAAAACCATGATTCTTATTTGAGAAATAAGAAAGGGATAAATATTCCAACGCGGATGTTAAAAAAGTTAATTCTGCGTTGTCACAATAATCAGAACTAGTTTATGTCTGAACTCTCATTTCATTTACAATTTACAATGATCTTTATAATAATAAAATTTAATAGATAAAGGCAAAAATAAAGACATACTATAATTAAAAGTGCTTAACGGTGATGTTTTTGTTATCAAAAAAAAATACTCAGGACTATCTGGGTAACGGCGTGATGTTATAAAGACAGTCATTAACACTTCACGAATTGATCAATTACCCTGCGATCTCAATCTGAAGAGCTATAATTTTCTCCGAATTTTTTTAATTTTAAGATGTGTAAAACACTAAACAAAAATCTATGGAACGCTTTCCTTTCTATAAAAAAAAAAAACAAAAACTGAAGGGATTTTAAGGAAACTGCACTCAAATTTACATATATATTTTATTTTTTCCGACTAACCGATTACGGATTTTCTAACCGATTAGCATCGTTCCGACCGATTGATCGATTAACCGGTTACAAATTGCCATCCCTGATTTTTTGTTTATTCTTGTTTGAATTCCATTTAGTTTTGTTTTATTTTTCTCCATTTAGTTTTGTTCAAGCCTATTACTTGCACACTATATTCCATTTCATTATTATCCTCCAGTTACATGTAGTTAGAGATGTCAGTTCAAATGTTTTTTCATTGATTAGCTTGGGCTGTAGATTTCAATAGTGAAAAAACTGTTAATGTTGATTTTACTAAAAAACACATAAGTTATCCTAATATTCAGTTTGGATATGGAGGTGATTATATAATACAATTAAATACCCATGTTCATTAAGGATAACAATTTCAAGCAGATGGTTCTTGAATAATCATATATTGAATATATATGAAAAGGCATGTAAAAGATTGAATATAATTAGGTTACTGAAACATATTACTGATAGAAATTCACTAATGAAAAATTATTTCGCCTTTATAAGACCAATTTTAGAATATGCTGATGTTGTATGGGATAATTGTACCCAAAGTAGTTCAGAATTGCTTGAAAAAGTTCAGATAGAAGCTGCCAAAATTATTACTGGGCTTAGAATTAATTCATCCAGAACTTGTTTGTATGGTGAACTAGGATGGGAACCATTATATCTTAGAAGCTAAAGATAAAAACACAAACTTCAATTGATGTATAAAATGATTAATGGTTCTGCACCCGATTATTTGTATGATTTGATTCAACCTTGTTTTCCTGTTCAACATGCTTACAACCTAAGGTCTGGATGTAATAACTTATGTATACCAGTTTGCAAAACAATGTCGTACTATAATAAAACTTTGGAACAGTGTTAGTGAAGATGTAAAGATGTAAAAACTCTCCTTCATTAGATATCTTTAAAACAAAGCTTAAGATTTGGGGAGCAACTAATAAACCTTGT